AAAAAATCAAATTAAAATTATTAAAAATTAACGGAAGGAGTATGATGTTGAAAAATTAATTTATGATACTTTTTGGTGGCTATGAAAAACAAGAATAACTTACTAATTTCAAATGTAAGAAAATATTTTACAAAAGAATCAACAAATTTTGCACACCTCACCGGCCGGTCTAGTAATAAATTATGGGTGTATTTAGCTCGAATAATTTTATTAATTTTTAATATTTTTTACGTAGTTAGTTAGCATGTTTTCAAAATATTAATATATAAAATAATTTTTAAATTATTAAATAATATAAATATAAAATATTTTTTTATTATATTAAAAAATTAATTACTTAATAAGTGCAAGGATTTAAATTTTTAATTTTAATTTTAAATTAAAAATTTTAATATTATAAATATCAATTCAACCAATTTATTCTCAATGAAGTATTACTAATAGTTTAATCAAACCATGTATATATATATTTTTGGCACAAACCATGTATATTTTTGCCATATTGTCGGATCCTTACTGCCGTACCCGACAAGGCCTTACTCTCGAGCATCATTATACAAATTTTTTAATTCTTCCCAACAATGACGAAAGATTTTTAGGACGGGAGGATTGATTTTTATTACCCTACCTTTCCTTTTCCCCAAAAAAACCCTCAAATTTAAGTTAATTAGCAACACCTACAAGAAAAAAAGGTTGTTTAAGTTACAGCTTATTAAGAATGATGTAACATTTACGGATGAAAATTTAGGATTAGACAAACAATGGAGACATCACACTTTTTAAAAGGATTTTTTTAATTACAATATTTATAATTAATTTTACATAAATTTTTATATAAAATTTAAATATAATATAATATAAAAAATATATAAAAGTATAATATAATATAATATTTATATTCAAGATTTATAAAAATATAAATTTAATATGAAAATTTATATAAAATTAATTTAAAAGTACATTAATTAATGACTTTTAACTTATGTTTTGAGCACATATTAGACAAATTTTTTTTTAAATCATTAAACATTTGTCCATGTATTAGGCATCATGGATGCATGATATAAGTTCTTAAGAGATAGTATTCCCACCCAAACCAATCACAAAGAAAGACGATTTTAGGAAATAGCCTAGATAAACAAATAAAGTGGCGGAATATAATAATTTAGTTCTATAATATAGGGTACCATGAACATGACCATGAAAACATGCTAATCAAATTATTAAATGACACTGTTTACTTGTACAATTAAAAAAATGACACCCTTCAATTAATAATACCGCAATGAATTAATAAAAATTAAAAATATCATCCGCCGAAATGCTATGTTTATTTGTCATTTAATTAATTAAGGAATTTCTTTTAGTATATTAGAGAAATTAGTTGCTTGTAGCACAAGGATTTAGAGGTTTGATCTTAATGTCAATTAAGATTTTTAAATTAATGAGTATCATCAATTTAGTTAAACTCTTATTGATAATTAATAAAGAAACTTTTAAAAGTACAAACAACTTAAGTAGTTCAGTGATAATTTCCTTCTACTGGAAGTAAAAGATCATGAATTTAAGTCGCATGGTATATGGTGGAATGAGATAAAGGATGATAGAAGGTTGCCTTTCATTATACCATCAACATCAAAAACAAACTTAAAAAAATCGTAAAGTCTCAAAAATTTTCCCTATAGTTTGGCCTTGTTCAAATTTGATAATAGTTTTGTTGGCAATAACACCAAATTCTTGTTGGAAAAACTTAAAATGCCTATATTTTTAAAGTATAAATTAAACCCCCTTTTTTATTTTCTTGTAATTTTTTTTTTTGAAATGATATAGCTTTAATTTGATTTTTTTTCTTAATTTTTATGAGATAAGTAAATAAATACTAATCTCTCTATAAATAAAATATTACATATCAATTTTAACTTTTATAAAAAAAATTAAATGCATATGAGAATCGACCCTTTCCCATTCTTTGATATATTTTATTACCCGCATATCATATGACTTGAATTTATAATCAAGCTATACTTTTATTAAAATGGGATTATAGCTAAACTACTTAGGTAGTTAGTAAAGGTTGTTATTTTTTATTCTGATGAATTCAAACCAAATATAAATGCAAGATTAACACTTGATTTA